GTGTTTCACTTGTCTGGAAAATCTTCAGGGGTAGTATACCCCTGGACCCCCTAGAACTGCTTTACTCCACAACTGCTCGTCAGGTGTTCCTCGTTGCTGTCAGCTGATGTTGGCAGGTATGAGGTTGACATTCTGTTTCAAATGTATTTTATTGTTAACTATTTTAACTGAACAACCTGGTTTCTAARGATAAACAATAATATCAAAGACAAAACTACTTTTGAATGTGTGTAATTTCGCAATAAGAGTTATAAAATTGCACAAGGGGTGCCACCTGAAATCTTGCCTGTAGGACCTAAATTGGCTAGTGCCGGCGCTGTGTTCAGCCATTGTGATCTTTAATAGCCACAATTAGTTTTATGGCTATAAAAGCTGGTTGTTCTGGCAAAAATTTATAAATTCTCCAACCATAACCAGAAATAAAGTAAATTTATTGTAAAAATGAGTTTTCTCTTCAGATTTATTTTACCTTCCAAAATTGTGGAAGTAAATATTTTTATCTTCCTGACAGATCCAGATAGTTTTGAGTTAAATATCATGTGTATAAAAATTGTTTACAATGAGCTTTAAAACAAATTTAATATGTAATCCTCTAAAAAACCCACAAACCTGCTGTTCCACAATAAAGGAGATCTTTTTTTATTATTTTTTTCTTTCAGATATTGTGCTTCATTACCATAAATGACCTGTAAAAACTTTTAGAGCATTGTTCTGTACCTGTCATTTCTGCAAAGCTTTGAGCTGAATCTCGTTGATCATCAAATTGTTTCTGCAGCTCCGAGGTTGATCCACCTGCTGAAAAAAAAGAAAGAAAGCGTAAAGATGATTTCTGTTAATTCCCTCCCTCACCTCATCTTTGTTACTTTCCCCCTATTCAACCGAGTCTTTGATATTTCCCTTTTATTTCACTATTTCATTTACTTCTAAAATCTAAAAAGAAACATCACAAAACGTAAAACCTTGGCTCAGCTTACCTGCAAGGAGGAGCAGAAAACAGAGTTGTGTGAACCTCATCGCTGTGAGGTCAGTGAGCGTCTCTCCGCTCTGATCTGTGTTCTGATGCTTTCTTGTTGCACTCATGATGTCACCTCCCTGCGTTTACTGAGAGAGGTTTGGTGGTGGCAGAAAACAACTGTATCTACTCTCACATCCRTCTTCAGATCGATGTGAGGAGAATACTAATCTAAACACATTCGCAGAACATTTGGGATTATTCAAAATAGTTACTCATAAATTTATATTAATACACATTAAGTCTATCAGTGTCCTGTGGCTTCAAAAATGATCTTATTCATAATGAGTTTGTGTAGCAGCTGTTGATGTAACGAACGAGACATAACAGAGCCCATTAGGAYGAACAACAGTAAGTGCATCTAGAAAACCACTTTCTTCCTCATCAGCATCATTAAAACCAGGATGTGGTGAAATAAAGCTTTTAGTTGAACACAGAGTCAGACACAAAATCACCAGCAGCTTCATAAAAACAAACACTTCTGGATCAGATAAAATGGTTTATTAGTTTCACAAAATCAGAGCTACTTTTCTGAATGTTTGTAGTTTTGTGTGCAAGGCATCAACACCGGGTTGGTTGGTTGGTTGGTTGGTTGGTCTTTGTTTGGTTGGTGTTTGGTTGGTTGGTTGGTTGGTTGGTCTTTGGTTGGTTGGTTGGTTGGTTGGTTGGTTGGTCTTTGGTTGGTTGGTTGGTCTTTGTTTGGTTGGTGTTTGGTTGGTTGGTTGGTTGGTTGGTCTTTGGTTGGTTGGTTGGTTGGTTGGTTGGTTGGTCTTTGTTTGGTTGGTGTTTGGTTGGTTGGTTGGTTGGTTGGTCTTTGGTTGGTTGGTTGGTTGGTTGGTTGGTTGGTCTTTGTTTGGTTGGTGTTTGGTTGGTTGGTTGGTTGGCTGGTTGGTTGGTTGTTTGTTTGTTTGGTTGGTTGGTTGGTTGGTTGGTTTGTTCAACAAGCTTAATAAATTTCAAATGCAAAGGAATATTTTGCTGATGGGTTTTAAAAACTTTAATCAAAAGATAACTAACACCCCTCTGTGCTCAATTACATCCTTAGTCTGCAGAAAACAGACTCACACAAAGCTTCCTCAAAAAAGAACACAAGTCAGGCAGATATTGAAGATTATTTTAACACAGTCAGTCATAAAATTACTGAACTCTGCACTAAAATTACATACAGTACTGTTCAATCATACATTTACTGTACCACAATATATATGTTATAATGCCACAGCAAAATATTTTTGTAATTTTTTAACATTACATTAACATGTTTATTTTTTTTATTTATTTATTTGAAATTTACACGTGAATTTTTAAAAATATATTTCATTCACTCTCCTTGCACACGAGGAGCAGGAGAAACAACACAATAAACACAAACTGTATTTATGATCATTTCTTCCCCCTTGCTGAAGTCTGAGCTACCATGTTAAAACAGATGAGGTGGAAGTTTGGAGATTTATGGACACAAAATAAATTTAATTTTTATTTATTGATGAGCCTGATAAACATAGAACAAAACTAAAATCATATAAGCCAAATAAAATCATTACACTGAATTATACATCCTCAAAATAAAACTTGATGTAACTGTTCAAAGCTAACCTATAATATTTTAAATTTAAAAATGAATTAATTAGTTAATTGAATAAAGATGTGTAAATGCTGTTTAGGCAACTACAATGTATATAATGTTCAAGGTTACAACTGTGTACCAGTTTCAGATATGTTATTTACAGCCATGTCTTTCTTGATCAGCTTTGCAAAAAGAAAAAAAAGGAAAGTCAATGGAAAGCATGCATTTTTTATGAGTTTAATATGAAACAATCAGTTTCTAAAACTATTCATCAAAAAAACTTTCAGTTTCTGCCATAAAGTTGCACGAGGTGAGTTGCTKTGTGAAATGAGATCAAATGAGTTTAAACAGAAATGTCCAGCAGAGACTCTTCTTCAGTGCCGTTCCACTCAAAGAACATCACAGCCAAGAACGCAACGATCAGTGCGATGTAGAAAATCAAGAAAACTCTGTCAACCTTTGTCGCCACCCTGGACCAGTACCCAGACTTCTCCTCCTTCTTGTCCTTAAAGAGCTGAGTCATGGTTTTCTCCATCGCCCTCAGCTCTTCTGACAGCCTCTCCAAGGTGATGAAATCATCCAGCCGTTTGCCAGAATTGTCCTGAAAATGTGGTTTGATGCATCAGTTCACCGTATGAAGAAATGATTTTCACACTTTCTGAAGATTTAAGGTTTAATTCAAACCTCTTTGGGAATATGCAGCATCTCAGACGGAGTCTCACCAGCAGACACGTTGTAGATAAAACCTCCCTGAGTCCTCTCATGACCCTCTGGAAAGGTTTATGGAAGAAATTGAACATGGAAAAACGAACAAACCGTAAAAACAGTGGCTTCAGTAACACCGCATTGGGGTGTACAAGATTGAAATTTGAGTTTTCAGTTTGTTTGATCAGAGTTGTTACAAAATTGTTGTTGTTTATTTATTTAAGAAAGGACAGTGCATATTACAGAAAATACCAGAATTAGCCATGAAGGCTAGTTTTCATCTGTAGTCCATCAAGGTCTTTTAGATATAAATACAATACGTACAAATCAACAAAAAAATTTTTTTGTTG